GTCCCATTGTGGTTAAGAACCTGCCTTTTAATTCTGGGGACACTGGCTTGATCCCTGGTCCGGGAAGATCCCACATGTCCATGCATCACAATTACTGAGCCCCCACTCTAGAGCCTGGAGGTTGTAAATACTGAGCCCGTGTGCTGCAACTACTGAACCCTTCGTGCTCTAGAGTCCATGATCTACAAGAGAAGCCACTGCAATAAGAAGCCTGTGTACCACAACTAGAGAGTAACCCCCGCTTTCTGCTAGAGAAAGTTCATGTTGCAGCAACAAAGATCCAGTGCAGCCAAAAATAAACAGAACAGAAAATAAACATTTTTAAAAAGAACAGTACACGGAGTTCCCTGGTGGTCCAGTGGTTAGGACTGAAGACCGAGTTTCAATCGCTGGTTGGAGAACTAAGATCCCACAAGCCAGTACAAAAAGGGATGTAAGATTAACAATTTAAAGTAACTAACTTTTTCTCATTTAAATGAGAGTTTCTGGAATATGGTGATTTTGCTTTATATGTTCTCCTTGGATATGCTATTTTTAATAGCCTTAGTGTCTTGCATTTTCTTGGGGAAAAAAGTCTAAAGTGTTCTTAACTATCACTTACCAGGTAGTCCATAAACAGCAACATTATAAACAAATACGAAGACATCTCTTTCAACTGAGGACATATGGAATTATAGAGCCAAGGGCAAATAAAAGGCTATATTATGTCAGGATCCAAACAATTCAAGGATAAAAGTAGAGAAACCAGAATTAAATATCTATAATCACTTTCCTTGTCATCTCCATAAGCTATAAACAGCTTTTCCTGTAGTTTCAATAGGAGTAAATGGTGACCAAGTATACAGCATCCAATCACCTTTCATTGCTATAACTGTGTATATTCATTTCCAAACAACTTGACTTTGTTATCTGATGTGCTTTAAAATATCAGTTCTGACGACTGTTTTGGCCAGTGCTTCTCAAACTTACGCATGCATCAAATCACCTACAGCTTCTGAAAACAGTTACCCAAGCCCTGTTCTAGAAACTCTGGGTTCCATTCTATTCTGCAGGTCTGAAGAAGAACCAAAGACTTTCTAACAAGCTTCCAAGTGCGCTGCTGACCTAGGTACCACACCTTTGGTAGTAGAACTGATCCAGAATAGACAGTTACTTCTATACATCCATGTTCTCAAAAAGGAAAACCAAGACTATAGAAAACATTTCTGTACTTTGCTCAATACTTTAAATAATGGTACCGAAAGTACCACTCCAATTATTCTGTCATCAAGAAAAGAATTCCTGATAACAAACTAGTGGTTACCAGTAAGGAAAGGGAAGGTGGAGGGGCAAAACAGAAACAGGAGAGTAAGTATAAACTCCTGTGTATAAAACAAACAAGGATATACTGTACAGTATAAGGAATTTAGCCAATATTTTTTAATAACTACAAATGGAATATAATCTTTAATAATTGTGAAACACTATGTTGTACACCTAGAACATTGTATAACTCAATTATATGTCGATTTAAGAAACAAAATCTGTGCTGAAAGACCTTTCACCCTTTATCTAGACTCCCTTAATGACTTAAGTTGACTGCCATTTCTCATCCGTAAATATAGTCAATATTTAAAGGCACTGTACTTCTTACATTTTCAACTATTATAATTCTCCTATAATAAACCAGTAATGACTGCCACATACTACATACTTTTGGTATACGAATTAATTAACTGACCTTTTTCCTTATTTTTTTAGTGTTTTTAATATTGTGAGATAAAAGCAACTTTCTTACTGTGTTCCAGCAGATTTCCAAAGAAACTAAGGCAAAATAACTGTCTTTTTGCAAGATGCACAGCAGCAAATTAAGGAAAAAAAAAAACTGCTTCTCTAGTACTTGTTGCTTGTTAAGAGTTCTACAGCTGAAACTGGCATTCCCAGCTTAAACCGACAATACAAAACAGGATGGAGAAAGTCAAGTTTTCTACCCAAATCACTCTGGTTTTTTTTCATTAATCTGTCTACACAGGGCGCACACTGAGTGTATTCAGAGATGTCCACGGCAAGCATCCAAATGCCTCAAGGGTTTTCCAAAGCACTATTCACTTTCACTGGTGTGAGTAACAGAGCTACTGGCAATTTGATTAAAAAGCATTCCACATTTGACCAATTTAAGATGGTCAATACCATGGTTCATCTAGATGCTTGCTCCAACTGTGATCTAGGTCTGTGTGCTTGTGACAGAAATACTTTTCATATATGAGACAACAAAACATACAGTTCAGGAAACAGGATGTGGTATCAACAGTTCCAGAATCATACTGTCCTGTTTCTGAATCCTAGCTATTTCTTAGATGTGATGACTGCAGACTCAAACTCTCTAAGCACAAGGGTTCGAGGTCCCTACTTGACAGGGGATGTCATGAATGAGACTACCAGAGGGACAAGAGGAGGAGGGGAAGGAGCACGGTGACAGCCTCGGTCAGTGACTAGTACTGGTGTCTTAGAAAAAGGAAAACATTCCCTGGAAATCCTCAATTCAGTGTGTTAACAGCTTCTGATTAATTTTCCAAATGTACATTAATGGAAAAGATACCAAAGCCCAGTCACACCTCCCTGAAATGTAAATCTATCGACTGTCCAAATTAAGGAAGCCAGACTCACATTCAAAAACTAAAACAAAGAATCACTACAGCTACATGCACCTTATTTGTCCCCCAACTACACTTGCCTTCAAGATGTACCTTCAGTGAAGACGTAATTCCCAAACCACCTCCTGGGAAGCCAGAAAAGAAATGTCCACCAACTAGTCCCCAAAAGACACCAAGTACCCTGGCTCACAAGAAATACAAAAGTTTGTTTCTATTTACTTCAAAAAAATGAGAACAAGGCTCACCTATGCAACACTTCTGGGCGCAGAGACACTGCTCCAAGCACTTTGGACCTGATTACCAGAATCCCCTCACACCCACGGAGACAGGAGGTGCCATTTGCAGGACATGGGCTCTGCCAGCCCTTGTCTCCTGGGTGTTCCTGTGACTCTCTCAAGCAAGCAGAGGCATCTGCACATGGAGTTATTACTGCACAGTCCCCCTGTACCAACATGGAAAGCAGGAGGAGGCATGACCACCAGTCACTGGCTGCACACAGAGTCTTGGTGCCTTACTCTCGGAGGACCACAGTGGAGGCAGGCAAGGAGAGCAAGGCTCCAAGCTCTGCTTTCCTGTATTTGTTTGCTATAAACACTTCATCTGCAATGCACACCCGAAAACCTCACTACTCCGGTCCAACACCATGACTTAATACAAGTTAAGCTGAGCGTTAGGCATACAAGGGGATTTGGTAAAGCCCACAGCTGGGCCAGTGGGGCTTCCCACTCCAAGGCCAGTCTCTCACCACCCATCATTCCCTCTTACCCATTCAAGGACAACAGTTAACAGCTCTCATTTGTGATATGTGGAAACTTCTGTTTCAGTTTTTTTCCACCCCACCCATCCTCGGATTTGCACTGACATCAGAAAAAAAATAGGAAAATGACTGATAACTTTTCAACTTCTCCTTTTTGCTACTCTTTAAGTGAGACAAGCACACCTCATATTAAAGCCCTAGATCACATTTCCTGCATCATGTAACAGATAGAATGAGAGATTCTTTAGCTGTACACATACGAACTTCAAAATCAAATGCATACATATTTATTCCTTTTTAGGGGAAAAAAGATGAACAATGCTAGTTTTGCAAAGTTAAATGTGTAATTTGCTTTCATCTCCCATTGTATGTTTTTTTTCCAATATCTTCTATTTACGCCAAGAGATGGTTTACTACTTATGGTAAAGATAATGAGTGGAGGGAGATACATTACCATAAATTATTAGATCACTAGATATGACAGAACTGTGAAGATGGTGGGCAAATAAGTGAAATTTGAGAAATGTTTTATCAAACCTCAGAACTCGCCCTATCTTCATATTTTTACTTTTCAAGTCATTTCTTAAACTGAGTATCACATATATTTACATTTCCAAGTTTTCCGTCAAATAGAGACATGTTTTGGTTTAACTACCGACAATTAATGAAAGGCACCTTTATTCATCCAGACCTTCTGTAACAGCCCAGAGGACCCTCACACTCTCCTCGACTATTACAGAGTGGTGACCGAGGGGCACAAGCATTTCAATATGAATAATTTGAAAATAACTGTATCATCAGTCTTGCGAGGTGCTAGGGTCAATGAGGCTCTCCCATATTTAACAATCTTATGATGAACACTCAATCATAGTTGATTTATTAAAGAGGATTTCATGGTGCAGTAGCCATCACTAGTACTGGTGGATGTTTAGTACCACAGTAAAAGTGGATATTGTTGTTTAAGATAGTAACTCAACTTTCTTTTTGGACATAACTATACACACACCAAAAAAAAAAAAAAAAAAAAAATGCAGGAAGGAAAAAAGTTGCTTTTACACTCTAGTACCTACAGAATTTAAGATTCATACCACATTTGTCACTTAAAATTATCTTTCAACATGAATATGCTTTCTGTACATTACAATATCCTCAATCATTTGAAAATGTTACGAAGAGGTGAGTGTGCCTGGCAGAGTGCTAGCTGGGTCCCGAGGGACAGGGATGAGAGAGCACACTCAGTGTGTGGCGAGGCTCCACGTGAGGCTGGCTGCTCTGAGGGCTCAAGAGCTGGCCTCACAGAGATGACCTCACCGCCCATGGAACCAAAGGACACAACGTGCTCTCTGAAAAGGCAGCTTTCTGTAAAACACATAACCAGTGCAAGTTCAATGCATGAAGCAGGGCACTCAAAGCCAGTGCTCTGGGACAATCCAGAGGGATGGGGTGGGAAGGGACGAGGGAGTGGGGTTCAGGATGGGGGACACGTGCATCTGTGGCCAATTCATGTCAGTGTATGGCAAAAACTATCATAATGTTGTAAAGTAATTATCCTCCAATTAAAATTAATTAATTAAAAAATAAATAAAAAGGCAAGTTTCAGAACCGCTTACTTGTGGGATGTCCTTTTCTTCATCATGCTTGCAGATACACCAGCATGGCCTAAAAGAGAAGTGAGAATACGTCAATGAAAACTGGATTGAAAAATAGTTCAAACTCAGGAAAAAGTTATCTTATGAAAAACTGCCATATAAAGTATGAAATTAAAATAAACCACAAGGGAATTCCCTGGCGGTCCCGTGGTTAGGACTCTGCACTACTCTGTGCTTTCACTGCCAAAGGTCCAGGTTCCATTCCTGGTTAGGGGACTCTGCAGAATACCACGAGCCACAAGACACGGCCAAAAAACAAACAAACAAAAAAACCCAAAATGGCAAAATGTAAGAAAACCATTTGCTTACTTATCTTTTAAACAGAAGATATAAGGGGTTCTGGGAAGATAAAATGACAGGAAGAGCAGCTTATCGGCCTAAATTGGCCATGAAACACAAAAAAAGCAAAATCACATGGATAAAAACTACAGCCAAAAAAAGTGACAATCCTAGTCATAAAGTACTAAAAGGTATAGAACTCATCTTCCTGCCACAAACAACTAGAAAACGGGACAAGAAATGTGAAACATCTGGATCCAGACATCAGGACAACAGGCAGCACAGGACTACGGAGCCAGGGAGCAGAAAACCCACACAAGGAGCCCTACACCAACCAAGGGCACCCCAAGAAGCACCTGAGGACAGTGGCGCACGAAGAGTAACCAAGAACACGGAGGCTGAGCCCCACGGAGAGCCAGATGGAAGCCAAGGAAGCGGGGGGCTGGGAGTCGTGGGTCAGAGTGCCGGCAAGGGGAGAGGTCTCACGGGGGCCAAACCTCTGGGAAAGGCATGGTGGTCTTCAGTCTGTGGCGAGATACCAACTTGCAAAGGCATGAGAACTGTTCAGACTCCATCTCGCCACCTCTCTGAACACACAGGACAATCAGGAGAAACCATAAAGACAATCCCTTGGCAGGAGGATGAAGCAGCCCTAAGAAAAGCTGCTACAGGCACATCCCAGAACGTGCTTGCCAAAACAAAACTCCAATATTCAGTAAAGGACACCAGTAAAAAAACCCAATGCTCCACAACTGGGTTGGATACTTCAGACGTCCAGCATCCCAACTACAAGTACTAGGTCTGTGGGAAAGCAGCAGCCTGTAACCCCATAAGCAAATAGGTTTTAACCAAAACAATGTAATTAGCAGGCAAAGATGCTAAAAGAACGATTAACAACTATGCTCAAACAGTTAAAGGAAGACATAAATACTTAAAACAGAAGAATGGGGGAAGGAGAAGAAAGAAATGAAACTGATGAAAAATACATGATCCAAAATGAAGAAGAAAAAAACCCCCACTGGATGTGGTTAGTAGCAGATCAGCCCCCACAAAAAAAGCAGTGAATGTGAGACATTGTAACACAACATATCCAAAATAGAACACAAACAGCCTCAGTGACTTCTAGGACAAGATCAACTGGCCCAGCAAAATGAAATGGACTCCACAAAAGAGGACAGAGGGGTGAACAAAAAGTCTGACAAAAATAATGGCAGTTTTTCAGATGTGATAAGTACATAAACACAGATCCAACAAGGTCAATGAAGTCAAAGTAAGATAAAAACAAAGGGAAAAACAATAAGGCACAGCCTAACCAATTTCTGAAAACCAGTGACACAGAAAATACTTTTAAACAGCCAAACAATAAAAGACATCTTAAATTTAGGGAAACAAAATAGTAGCTCCAGATTTGTTGTCAGAAACAATGTTGGCCAGAAAAAACAGTGGACTAAATCTTTAAAGTGCTGCTCAGATAAAGAAGACAATCTACTTGTGAATACTATATACAGCAAAAATCTTTCCACCCCAACAATATTATTTCACTAAATATAGTTTAAATACATCAATTAAGAGACCATAGAAAGAATAAACAATTATTAAAATCAAAGGTAGCAGGCATCAAAAAGGATATTCCAAAATGATAACAGGGTCAATTAAGAAGCCGCAACACTCTTTCCTTTCCAGGGTGTGGGAGGCAAGATGGCAGTGCAGATTTCCAAGAAGAGAAAGTTTGTCTTTGAAGAAGATGGCATCTTCAAAGCTGAACTGAACAAGTTTCTCACTCAGGAGATGGCTGAAGATGGGTACTCTGGAGTTGAGGTCCGAGTTACACCAACCAGGACAGAAATCATTATCATGGCCACAAGGACAGAGAATGCTCTTGGTGAGGAGGGCTGGCGATCTGGGAATTGTCTGTTGTGGTTCAGAAGAGATGTGGCTTCCCTGAGGACAGTGTAGGGCTATATGCTGAAAAGGCAGCCACAGAAGTCTGTGTGCCATTGTCCTGGCAGAGTCTCTGCATTACAGACTCCTAGGAGGCCTCGCTGTGCGAAGGGCCTACTATGGTGTGCTGAGGTTCATCATGGGGCCAAAGGCTGTAAGGTCATGGTGTCTGGAAAACTCCAAGGATAGAGGGCTAAATCCATGAAGTTTGTGGATGGCCTCATGATCCACAGCGGGAACTCTGTTAACTACTATGCTGACGCCTCCACACACCACGCGCTGCTCGGACAGGGATCAAGGTAAAGATCATGCTGCCTTGGGACCCAATCGGTAAGACTGGCCCTAAGAAGCCTTGGCTTGATCACGGGAACACTGTGGAACCCAGAGATGAAAATGCTGCCTACTGACCCCATGAACAGAGAAGTGGGAAGCCAGAGCTGCCTGCCATGCCCTAGTCGGTAACCAAGAGAAGACAGATTTCCTTGGCCCTGGGTCTGGAGCCCGGATGTTGCTCTATAAAGATCTTTAATAAAATATTTTTAAAAGACAAAAAAAAAAGAAGCCACAACAGGGCTGGTGGTCCTGTGGTTAGCGCTTCCAGTTCTCATTATTGAGGGCCTGAGTTCAGTATCTGGTCAGGGAACTAGGGAACTAAGATCCCACAGTCATGTAGCAGAGTCAAAAATAAACAAACTAAACAAACAAAAAAAAGAAGCTATAACAATCTTAAAAGTATATAAACCTAATTATAGAATACGGAAATATATAAAGCAAAAACTGATAGAATAAAAAAAATTGACATACTCATATTTTAAAATATAAACACTTCTCAGTAATTGATATAACAAGTGGGTAAGAATGTAAGAAAAGGATATAGAAGACCTAAACATCACAAACAGCCAACTAGGCTTAGATGACATTTACAGAATGTCAATCCAGTAATGCCAAAATAAACCTTTTTTCCAAGTTCACATGGGACATTAACCCAGATACTACCATACTATATGCTACTCAGAATACAAACTCTCAATACACTTAATGTGAAACCATACAAAGGATGTCCTCTGACTACATCAGAATTTAATTAGAAATAAATATCTGTAAATACCCCAATATCTGAAAATTAAACAATCTTCTAAAACTTCATGTTTCGAACACAAAGTCACAATGAAAATTCAAATATTTCGAATAAGAAAACAACAACTTATCAATATCTACAGAGCGCTTCAAAAGCAGTGTATGCCCTATTGATCAAAATTCACACTAAGTAACATAATCCACCTGGGTGGAGGAAGAAGGCTTCTGGGTTATCTGCAAAGTTCTCTCCTTGGCATTACATCAAGACATGCAGTTTTTAAACATAAATTTCTGCAGTTACATAACAATTCTATAAAGATAAATGAAAAAGGATACATATGGTCAGTTGGTCTGTGCAAGACTGTCCATTCTACTTCACATATAAAAACTGTCAAGCATGATCCTAAATGCTAAGAGAGCCATCCCCCCTTAATTTCACCTGGCCTGTTTACATACACTGAATGAAGTGGGCAGCTCATACAAGAAGACACAGACTGAGAAGAGATCCAATCTACCCAAAGCATCTCTACAAGAGCCCTTTCAGCATTATGAGGTGCAGCTGCAAATGCCTATGGATGGCCGTCCAGTTGATCCCGTCAACCCACACGAAATTTCATAATCGCACTTTATGCCCACTTCACTTCTGGTCTCAAAGTTCCTCCTTAGTACAGAGGAGAGTAATCAATATCTCCACCCTCAAAGAGGCTGTAGTGAAAAAAGTAGACAATAAACAAGAACAAATGAGTAATATAAGCAGAAAAATGGAATGTCTAAGAAAAAAACAAAAGGACATGGCAGATAGGCTCCCTTGATGGTTCAGTGGTAAAGAATCCACTGCCAATGCAGGAAATACGGGTTTGATCCCTGGTCGGGGAAGATCCTACACACCGCAGAACAACTAAGCCCCGTGTCACTACTATTGAGCCTGTGTTCTAGACAGACCCCAGGAAGAGCGACTGCTGAGCCCGCTGGCCTACCGCCAGCGCTCCACAGCGAGAGAAGCCACCGCAGTGAAAAGCCTGCACAGCAAAGACCCTCTGCGACCCCATGGACAGCAGCCCACCAGGCTCCTCCGTCCATGGGATTTTCCAGGCAAGAGTACTGGAGCGGGGTGCCACTGCCTTCTCCGGAGGATCCTCTCAGCCCAGGGATGGAACCCGGGTCTCCCGCACTGCAGGCAGACGCTTTACCATCTGAGCCACCAGGGAAGTCCTAGAGAAGATCCAGCATAACCAAAATAGGACTTTTTAAAATCAAAGAGATTTTAAAAAAGACACAGCAGAAATCAAAAACACCAAAACAGAAATGAAGAATGCTTTGATAGACTCATTAGTAGACTGAGTAGACTCAGCTAAGGAAACAACTTCTGAGCTTGAAGATATGTCAACAGAAACTTCCAATACTGAAAAGTAAAGAGAAAAAGATAAAAATGCAGGGAAAAACAGAGTATCTAAGAACTGTTAAACAACAACACAAGTATAATATGTGCATAATGAGAATATCAGAAAGACAAGAAAGAAACAGGAAAAAATATGTAAAGTAATAACAATCTGCCCCAAATTAATGTCAGATACCAAAGCACAGACAAGGAAGTGCAGAGAACACCAACCAGGAAAAGTGCCAAGGAAACAAAAACAAAACCTAAATAGGCTTTTCATATTCAAATGTGAGGAAAAAAATCAAAGATAAAGAAAAAAACCTCTTAAGAACCCA